TTCATTTAGTTGTGTTTTTTTTCTCTAAATGTGGACTAGTAACACCTCCAATAGGTACAATACTACATAACAGACAACCACTGCTGGTTTATATTAAAAACCAACAATGATGATATTAGCGATTGGTAGTGACAAAGTATTCGGATAATATTCAATGCAGTTAACTTCCCAACTCATATCTGCGGTCTCTCCCTATCCTTCTTTTCTCCCTATCTCATGCTATCTTGGACTCCCCCTGCCTAATTCCAATAGCCCCAACACAGATCAGCATGTGCGGCATTTGCCGCCCTACGCCCGCTGGTAGGTGAGGCAGTTGCCACGACCCTCTTATGGGCAGCACACAGGTAGGCCCTACAGCGGTGATGTCCTGCCCCCGGTGGGCGGCGCACGGGTAGGCGTGGCGGCGGCAAGTTCCGTTGTGTAAGCTCGCGTTCCATGGTAACCCGATGTCCTTCGCTCCAATGGCATGCGACAAGGTTGCACCAGGCTTTATTCATGATTTTTCACTCTCTTTTATCTTTCTATTGAATTGATATGTTATATTGCTCTAATCTATGTTTCTACGACGAGGCCATGGTGCGGTTGCGCGCGGCAACAGCCACACACAGCTCCCCAACGCGGGCGCGGGGTGCTGACGGTGGCCCCATCGCATCATCGGCCGTGGATCTAGCCTTGTGCAGGCACGATGGTGTTTTCGTATTTTCTTCTTTGTGTATTTCTTGCTGCCATTGCCTCTGCCTACGCACACCGCACACCATGCAGGCGAACAAACACCTTCCCTTTATGGTAGAAAACTGACAGCAGACAAACAAACAAGGACCGGCACCAGCCAGGCCTTGCTGGTCCAGAACAAAAAAAAAAGCCCAGTTGCACCGGTTGGACCGGCCAGGTGCTGGGCAGGCCCAGCTGGTACACGCCGGCCTGACTGACTACCAGGACCGCTTGAACAGATTCCAACATGCGCGGAACTGCCGCTCAAATTATTCGAGAGAGAAACATATCCAGTCCAGATGCAACTAGATTAAGCCTGGGCCAGGCCCATACTGAAGAATCAGCCACATTGCTTCGTCGGACGGAATGAAGCCCGAGGCCCAGCCTTCCCCTTCTCCTTTCCGGGCCGCACGCAGTCGCACAGACGAGACAGAGAGCCGTCCCTCTCGCCGCGCCAACCAGCTCGCAGCCAGAAAAAAAAAAACGTGTGCAAAAGCAACGGCGTTCCCCTGCGTGCGTTCCACCGTGCACAGCACCTCCACTCCACGTCGCGGGATATTCCCGAATCCCGTCGGCTCCACCCCCTGGCTGGCCGGCACCTGCCGCGGGCGCCCCCCACCACCTACCCCGCTCGGCCGCTCCGAATACCCGGCGCACCAGGGCCACCACTCGCGCAGCCTCGCTTCCAAAAAAATCCAGGCGCTCGCGGCCGTAGGCCGGGTCCACGCGCGCACGGGCAGGGGGTTGAGAATCCCTTCAGCTGTTTCCTAGGCGCACGTCGCCCTCGCCGCCTTCGTCTCCGTCCGTTCGTCGGGCGCCAATAGAAAAGAGGCCTCACCACGGCACGCGCCGCCGCTCTTGCCCTGCACAGCCCCTTTTCTACCACCGGGCCAAGGACGAGCGCTTTTTCGTGCCCGCCTGCCTGCCTGCTGCCCGTTGCCGCTGCTCACGAGCCTCCCGCCCCCCGCGCTGCCGCAACGAGCCCCAGGGGAGCCAGGAAAAGGAGCCGTCAAAAGCCCCAGCCGAGGGGAGCACGCAAGGGTAAGGCCACCGACGAAGCCCCATCTCCTCTCCTTCTCCTTCGATTAGATTGGATCCCGGCCGCCGTCGCTGCAGGTGGGATCTGCTCCGTTTCTTGTTCCCCCACCGCTCCTTCCCCAGGGGCATGTGTAGATCTGCACGTTTCCGCCTTCTGCTCGGTTTTCATTCCTTCCCGTTGAATTCGTACTGTACATTCGATACCTTTACCTTGGCCGGCTATCGGATTATGCTTTGGAAGGCAATTTGATCTAGCAGGGTAGCTCGATTTGTTAGTGATACTAGCGATTAGGAATGTTAGTATCGATTTCAAACCAAGAGAGCGCGCAAGTCAGGTATAGGATTACGTTTGCTCTGAGTTCTGTCCATAGATACGATACCCCATTGGGGAACTCAGTCATATGATCAATTCTGTTGAGTGATTCACGTTGTTACTGCGAGTCAGACCAACTCACGAACGTTTTCCATATATGTTAATGTATTATTAATGTACTGTTACTCAAGGTCATGATGGATCTCTGATATTCCGACTCCCAGTATTGGAGCTGTGTCCTTGGTTACACTATTGATGCTTGGAAGAAAGCTTTTTTTTTTTCCTACTATTCTATATAGATCACCTGCTTCATACATGTTTCATTCTTGGTTATTATTGCTTCTAAATCCAGTTCTTCAAGTTATCACTCTGTCTTGAATTATCTTCTACCTCACCTGCATATGTACCTGACGGAACTTTGTTGCTGCAGTCAGACATGGCGTCAACCGTTACCTTCAACTCAGTTAGCGCCCAAGCTGGCCTGATCCAAAAGGCAAGGAACCTTGGAGCCACAAGCTACGCTGGCTTAAAGGTGCCGAGCTTTGGCTCAGAGTCGTCATTCCTGGGCAGGAATGCGTCCCTTCGGGCAGCTGTTGCTCCAAGGATTGTGCCCAAGGCAAAGTCTGGATCTCAGATATCTCCACAGGCATCTTACAAGGTGGCAGTGCTGGGTGCTGCCGGTGGCATCGGTCAACCGTTGGGCCTGTTGATTAAGATGTCTCCTCTGGTGTCCGAGCTGCATCTGTACGATATTGCTAATGTCAAGGGAGTTGCTGCAGATCTCAGCCACTGCAACACGCCTGCTCAGGTTCTTGACTTCACTGGGCCCTCAGAGTTAGTCAACTGCTTGAAAGGCGTGGATGTTGTTGTCATCCCTGCTGGGGTCCCAAGGAAGCCGGGCATGACTCGCGATGACCTTTTTAACATCAACGCGAGCATTGTCAAGTCACTTGTTGAGGCTGTCGTGGACAATTGCCCAGAGGCGTTCATCCATATCATCAGCAACCCAGTCAATTCCACGTTGCCAATTGCAGCCGAGGTTCTGAAGCAGAAGGGTGTCTACAACCCCAAGAAGCTTTTCGGGGTTACCACCCTGGATGTCGTCAGGGCTAACACATTTGTGGCGGAGAAGAAGAACCTTAAGCTCATTGATGTTGATGTCCCAGTTGTTGGTGGGCATGCCGGTATCACAATTCTGCCATTGTTATCGAAGACCAGGCCAGCTGTCACCTTCACAGATGAGGAAACCGAGGAGCTGACAAAGAGGATACAGAATGCTGGGACAGAGGTGGTGGAGGCCAAGGCTGGTGCTGGGTCTGCTACCCTGTCCATGGCCTATGCTGCTGCCAGATTTGTTGAGTCGTCTCTCCGCGCGCTGGCTGGCGATCCAGATGTTTATGAGTGCACATTTATTCAGTCTGAGATCACTGATCTGCCATTCTTCGCTTCAAGAGTCAAGCTTGGCAAGAACGGTGTTGAATCCGTGATCTCTGCCGACCTCGAGGGAGTGACTGAGTACGAGGCCAAGGCACTTGAGGCACTGAAGGCCGAGTTGAAGGGAAGCATTGAGAAGGGTATCGCCTTCGCGAACAAACAGCAGGAAGCTGCTGCATCTGTCTGAAGCGAAGCAAGTGAAATGGAACTCAGTCCACAAGAGAATAAAGGAACTATGATCTTGAATGGCTTTTAAGTTTTGCAGCCTAGAATTTTTTTTGGGTGCCGGCGTGTAGGAAGATGCTCCAGATGGTTTCTGTTGTTAGTTTCTTATTACTACATGGGGGCTGGACTGGACATTCCCCCCAAGTTATCGCCGGTTTCTAAACCAGGCCTTGTTTAACACCATACATAAATTTTGCTCCGTCTGTATTGTGGTTCTGTTTGTAGCTTGTTGGAGTTTACAAACTACAAAGCTAATAAAACACTTCTATTGAAAGTGATATGTGCTGTGCCATGTTTGTTATGTCGTATTTCCCACTGTTCAACAGAAAAGCCCTGGCTTCATTGGCTACTGAAGTTATTATCTTTTTTTTTTCATGTGTAATGGTCTCATTGGTGACTAATCCCAGTCGAATTTGTTGTGTTAGACCTTGATGCCGACGATCAGGGACAGGGATGGCTGGAAGGTAGCATATGTTTCGGTAGATTCGGAGTTCACAACCAAGCACCAGACAAACACCCTGTTCGCTTGGTGGTTTCAAATTATTGCCAAATTCAAAAAACAAACAATAAATCAAGACCACCAAATTTAAACCAGCCCAAACCAACCAAATAACACGCTTTTTTTGGTTCAACAAATCCAAACAAACCAAATAATAAATCAGCACTCACAATAAATCAGCACCACCAGCCCAAAAATTTCCGTAAACCAACCAAATGAACAGACTTAAAGGTAGTATAAGAATTTGGTTGTGCTGTGTCTGCTGTCCTGTTCCCTGATTCGGAGTCTCTGTCTGGCTGTTACTATGTTTTCTGCTTGGAACTTGGTAGTCAGTCAAGGCGTTTCAGTTTGTTACGCTTCAGTATATCGTGTTCTAGCTTGGACGGCAAAAAACTGCCCGTGCACGCTTTGGTTTCGTATTCGCGGCCTGAATTGCAAGGCGTGTCGCGTCGACAACAAGATGCACATGTGCGACGCAACGTCAGATAGAGTGTGTGTGGTCTGCAGCTGCTGAAAGCAGGTAAGATGGCGTGCGTGCAACAAGAAAGCACACACTAGTGTGACTGTGACTGAACTTATGAATTGTTCTCTGAATCACTGAATGTGATGACAAATAATAATACCGTCTGCACCATTTCTTCAGCAGACAGAAATATAGTACATCGATCGGCTCCTTTTATTTTCAAAAAGAATAAAAAACTTTGAATAATGGAGAATGAACATTCCGTTATCCTCTTGCAGAGAATTGGAACAACTGACGAGAACAGTTAGTCAGCCAGCCTAGAACGCCGGGAACTCGATCCTGTTGCCACAGGGCCTGCCGCTGGGGAGGACGGGGCACTCGACGAAGCTGTCGCCGGCGGCGTCGACGCAGAAGTAGAGCTGGTAGAGCTGGCTGTTGCCGGCCTCGTCGCGGTTGCACTCCACGTAGGGCTCGAACCCTGTGCCGTCCTGGATGGCGCCCTTGATCTGTCTCAGCGTGTAGTAGCCACCGTCCGGGTTGACGCCGTTGGAGGTGAGCGCGGCGAGGACGCCGAGCTGGTCGCGGAGGCGCAGCGCCGCCTGGAAGTAGCCGTGCTCGTCGAAGACGTTGGCGGCGCAGGTGCCGTGTTTCTCCCACTCGTGGCCCCAGAATTTGTGCCCGTCGCCGGATGGGCACGCCAGCGTCGGCCACTTGGCGCGGAGGCTGCTCAGCAGGTCGCTCACCTGCAACGTGTTGTCATTACGCGACATGTCAGCGTACCTGCATCAACATCTGCGTGCACTGTGTGTGGCAACTGCCACCCACGATCAGGGGCGAAGCTAGAGTTGAAATGAGGGGGTGTAACGCTTCAATAGTACTATTGTTCTTCTAAACGGTCAATTAGCCTATTTAAACACTGCATAAATGCTATATAATGATTCATTTAGCCCGTTTAATTGACCGCTCAACCCGAATACTTTTATCGTCAAACTTTAGATACTTACACAAAGAGTGCACCTAGAATTGCTTTTTTTTTTTTGATATGGAGGTAGTACTTGGTAAAATTTGGTTTTTCTAAAGCAATAATCATATTTACAGAAATTTAAATTTAAAAATAAAGGGAGGTATGCAAAATCTATAAAGGTGTATATTGAGTTCAGAAGCTTAGATAAAAATTATTGCTAATATGTGCAGAGTTTAGGTATAGAAAATTAGATGCTATCGATTGTTTGCCATAGAATCAGATAACATTAATAACTGGCTTTCGCCGATCAAACTCCAAGCTCTTATTATTCTTGTGTACTTGGCATCCAGCCTATCTCTACCTTAATTGAAAAAAAAAATCTCCCAATGCTAATTGATAAATTAAGACAATCTCAGTCTGCTCAAGCTTTCACGCATCCACGTTGGCATGTGGGGGGTGCATGATCCTTGGCTGAGGGGGGTGCACACATGGTGAATGTGAGATGATTAACACTAAATTTTGTTTTTGCTGTGGGTGCAAGGGCACCCACTGTGGGATACGTAGCTTCGCCCCAGCCCACGATGATGCCCGGTGGAACGAATATTCCAAGAATGCGGCAATGCAGCTACTGGGCATGCGGTTGTCTTTGCAAAGAAAGTTTTTACTGCGAGGTGACGGTAAATTAAATTTCACCAGCATCAATTCTCCAAATTACACGTTGACAGAAAAGAACAGAACAGAGTGGTGACAGTAGTAATGAAGAAGAAAGAATGTTGCCACAAGTGTGACTTCTGGAGACGGCAAACAATCCAATGGATGTTTTGGAGTGAAGCCAAAAGGAACGATACTGTCCTTCATCTCACATCACCCCTAACATGTGGTTTGTGTTCCAATCCATACGGAACAAAAAAAAAATGATTTTGAGCTATAGGATCGTCGTCGACAACGGAAGACGATCATCAAACAAGAAAACGTAAACAAGGATGCCCCAGAAATTTGCCAATAGCAGAAGTGCAGAGCAGAAAGACCTCGTCAAACAGCAGAAGAGCCAACAACATAAACCATAACGTGAGGACAAAGATGCGTTGGCACACGAAATCCAAGAACAGCACATGCCGCCGCATCGATCAAACACATGCGAAGCAACAAATAAGAAGAAGAATCACAAGCACCTTTGATGGGTTGAAGGCGTTGTCGGGACTGCAGTTCTGCGGGTAGGAGCCGTCGTCGCGGTTGGGCCACAGGCCGTGGATCCCAAAGTCCGCCGGCGGCTTGCCGGACTTGGGGTAGCAGCAGCTCTGCTTGGTGTCGCAGTAGCTCCCCGGCCACTGCAGCACCAGGTAGAAGAAGTCGTAGTCCTGCGCCGCCGCGCGCTGCCCGGCGGCGACGGCCAGGACGACCAGCAGGAGGGACAGCGAGAGGCGGGCGGCGGCCATGGCCGTCGGAGCGGCGGCTCTGCGCTGATACGGATCGGATTAGTTCTTGGAAGATGGGCGGTTGCTTGCAGGCTGCCGCTGCGTGGTTTATGCAGGGATGATCGAGGTGGAAGATGAAGGTTGCGAGGCCGTGGGGTGCGAATTTATAGGGAAGGTTTGGGTGGGATCGGGAGGTGTGATGTGGATCCACGGCGACGGTTGGCGCGCACGCATGTATGGCAGCCATGGCAGTAGCGCGGCATATTCCTACGGGAGGAAAAGGAAATGGAAATCTAATCGTGCAATTCAAGAAGCGAGTAAATGAGTAATGGCTTGCTTGCTGCAGCCTGCAACTGCAAGGGGCTAGATAGACATGGAAGGTAAGGCGCGGCAGGCTGGTGGGGATGATAGGTGTGGAAGGCAAGTAGGGTCGTCCAGTTGGAGAGTGACAGGTCGGAGGAGGGAGGAGGGAGGAGGGAGGAGGGAGGAGGGAGGAGGCCGAGCTCGACATGCATGCATGGCTATGGCCTGGTTGTGGTCGGCACGGGACGACGGCTGGGTCTGAATAATCCGACCTGCAGCGTTCGTTCCCGGACGGTTTTGTTTATTCGCAATCCATTTCCACGTATCATTGAATTGAAATTAATGGACGGATGGAAAAAATACTCATGCTCGCAGTGCAGGGAGTCAAAGCGTTTGTTTGGTTAGTCAGTGGTGAAGCGTATATTCGAGGATTTTTTTTTTCACCCAAAAAAAATGAGGAGGAGAAAAACTTGCATTGGCACGTCTCCTAGTTAGCTTCCTTGTGAGCGTGACTGATATACCACCCCATGCATGGACCAGCAAGGTTCGGCAGCGGTAGTACTTGCGCTTGTGGCAGTTGGCACGTTTCCCAGCTGACCCATCGACGCTGGGGATAATAATGCATGCCCTGCGGCAGTTTATTAGGGTGCGTGTTCTTATCATCGCCCTGTTTGTTTGGGCTTATTTAACTGATAAGTTATGGCACTGAAAATACTGTTGGTTGATTTGATGTGAGAGAAAAATATTGTTCGTTAGCTAAAGAAATACGGCTTATAAGCCAGACAAGCCTAATCGAACAGGGCGCATATATATAAACGCATTGCCGGCAACGGCGTATGTACGTCGTGTCCTGTCGCCGGACGCCGGCCGGTGAGCCTTCCTTGTCACGGTGGGAAACAGGGACGAGCCAAGCGGCAGCTTCATCATCATCATCATGTACGTTGTCGCTGCGTACGTGGCGGGCGGAGCACGGACGTCTCAGTTGGCAGCTAATATGAGACGCGCCAGCCATGCCACGAAGCTAGTCTGATGAGTTTGAGAGAGAAGGCACCATACGCCATGGCAGGCATCACGCGAGCATTTCACAGGAGTAATGCTACCATATCGTATTGCTGTTATTCCGGTGGTGGATGCTTTTGCACCAATTTTCTACTAAATCCGTTCTATAAATCATAGTTTGTTTGATTTTTTTACTCTAAATTTGACCACTTGTCTTATTCAAAAATTTGTGCTAAATATCACTTCTTTTGTTGTGGCTTGCTTTACTAACAAAAGTTCTTCAAGAATGACTTAAATTTGACTATGTTTGCACAAATTTTTTGAATAAGACGAACGGTTAAACTTAGGGTAAAAAAAAATCAAACGAATTATAATTTAAAACGGAGGGAGTACTGGTTACTACGGAGAGAGTGAAAATGCACCTTGCTTGAGGGTTGGATTTTGATTGTGTGGCCTTGCTATTTTAGCTTGCTATACTTGGATTTTGACTCTTGTGACCTAGGATTAGCGAGTGACGACGACGGCAAGGTTATACTAGCGCGCGAATTAAGGCAACCGGGTATCGCCGGAGATCGAACACGTCACCGGCGAGGAACGTGGTCGGCTGTCGTCCGTGATCCAACAAGGATTAAGCCGCAGCAAGTCAGGATTAGGTCCAACGTAACACTACTAGTGATCCAACAGAAAAGCTGTTGTTGCTTCGTCTCGCTTATCTCTCGCCTGAGGCGCCAAGTCTGTCGTTGCTTGACACCATACTTTTTTCAAAGGGTGGTTGAAGAAACGTTCAGCGTTGGACACGACGTGACGACCCTGTTGCTTCTGCCATTCGTCTTCTTATCCCAGCTTAAAGTCTTCCTCACATGGTAAACGACACTCACTAGAAAAAGGCCTAATGATACACTGAGATGCGATGCCGATTACGTGCAGGTGCACGCGATTACTCCTGTTTGGCTACGGAAGCATGCATCTCCCTGGCTACTACCTTAGTTCAGGGCTCCTAACTGACAGACTTTAATCAGACGCCTTGGCTCAACCACGGCCCGATCGATGATACAAGTGCAGAGCAACGGCAAATCCTGATCGATGTTCGGATCGAGGATCAGTCATTGATTGCAACCGGATCGGGAGACATCAAAATGTTCCACCACGCTCCGGATACGACTGCCAGAGAGGACATGCAACAACAAATACATGAGAGTATGTATCACAAGGTCTGATCAACGCAAGTAAACTAAGCAGGCTTCAAATTATTGAACACATTGAATTCTTTTTTTTTTTGTGTGTACGTATTCCTGTTCAGACCTTTGAGACAATGGTGTTCAGTTCAGACGTCCAAGGAGGAGAACTGAACAACCATCAGCTTTGCCGATCAGCTGGGATAACTGGACGTGTCCCATCAGTCATAGTATGAACAAAGATATATGAAATATAAGATATGCTAACCTAATTGGCCTCCTGCAGTTTGATTCCAAAGATTTCAGGCCATCACATCAACAATCATCAACTTAGCGAAGATGCAGAGCTGGAGTCGGGTCAGCTGCTGTCCAGAAAAGGATCCATCATTAGTAATTTAAGTAGGCACTCTTCTGTACCTACCAAAAAGAATGTCATTCTAGTTTTGTCAAAAGTCCAACTATCCTAAATTTCACTAAAGTTTATAAAGAAAAGTTTCTACATTTATGGCATAAAAAAGGTATACTATGAAAACAGATTTCATGGTAAACTCAATGGTACTAATTTGGTATCTTAAAATATTGGTACATCTACAAATTTGGTCAAACTTATGATGGTTTGATTTAGCACAAAGGTAGAATGACACCAATATTTTTTTTGACAGAGGTAGTAAATGACATCACACTCATGATAGATAGAAAGAGAAGCAAAGGTCTGATCATGAGGAACACCGCTATGCTACGCCAATCAGACTCAGTCCTAGGAAAATAAAAATGCAAGAATAATTCAGGACATGCATGCATGTACCATGCTCCTTGTGGTCATTCCTTGAGCAGCAAATCCCATTGTCTACAGGATCTGCTGATAGAGAAAACCAAGTCCCATAATCCCATTCTGTGCAAGAATATTTTCCATGTAAAGACATCAAAGTTCCCCAGGAGTTGCAATACCAGTAGTCCAGTATGTACAACCTGCTGCTGTGATGGAAAAAGAAGCAGAGACAATAGAATTATAGAATTAAGTGCAGACAGAACTAATCTATGCACCAAAATATGTTCAGTTACCCAAGAAGCAAAATATATAGGTGATGATTTCTTCCCACAAGCATATATTCATTTTGACAAGTCTCTACGTGCCAAATGCAGTGGAGAATGGATACTTGGCGTGGTGTTGATAGAATTTATGAAAGTAACCAGGCATTCAAAATTTCAAACAAGGATAAAGAGTACAGTTTTCATGACAGTTCAGATTTCACTATTTCAGGGATGCCAACTCTACTTGTATTAGATCAAATGCAGACAGGTTTATGTATGTTCAAACCACAAATTTTCCATGTAAACCTGTTTTATGCTGTTTGGATTTTACCCAGATATATGTAAAACATGGGTGCAGCATTTGAAACTTGCTGTCATTTATCAAAGGACGAATTAATGTAAAACGGATTATATGATCAATCAAAACAAAAACTTGCTGTCATTTATCAAAGGACGAATTAATGTAAAACGGATTATATGATCAATCAAAACAAAATACTCAGATTTCAGCTCTGTTAAAAAAAATGTATGTTTCAACTGGTCAAGTTGACCATGTAAGTGTGCATTTAGCATAACACCATTGTTTGTTCCTCATGCATATAATTCAGTGGTCCTTTAAACAGATACAGTTGGACATGGGAATCTTTCCTATTCTATATACAATCTATGCTAAAAAATTGGTGCAACCATGTTCATTATCTTTCTCAACCTGTATATTTGATTAGCCATGCATGTGAACAAAATGTTAAGCAATCACATATTCAATAGTATCCACCAAACGAATTTCCTAGGTTTGAAGCACAATGCTGTTGAGCTCATCAGTGAAGCCTGATGAGGCAAACTTGACAGACTAACAAGAAAGTCACATGATTTGTCATCACTTCCTTTTTCTGAATTTGTCGTCACTTTTTCTATCTTATAGAAGAATGTTCCAAGGCATGACAACATTGCATGTTTTTTTAAATGCAAGGACAACATATCATGTTTTAAGACATGTTTGTATTTCAATTACCAGTATAAATGATCCTCTTAATTAACCAATATCTGAGTATTCGATATTACTGTTGTAGGCAAGATCCTGAATACTGATTGCTGAGCCTGTAGTCCTAGTGTAAAGACCACATACGTTGGACCTTGTTCTTTAAGTGCTGATAGTTGTACTCGGCAAAAAAGGGCCTTGTTCACGACAGCAGACAAGCTAGAAACCAATTGTGTGAAAAGCTTCTTGTCATCACATTAGAGCTCATATAGTGCTTATGATTGGGTGCCACTTCAAACATTTACTGTTGCTCTGGTATCCAAAGTATGTGCGATAACTTCACTTCCTTGTGATGTGCTGCAAATGCAACAAACAAGCAAGGATGGACTACCAATAATCATTGCACGAACATTTTCCTCCATGGAAATGATGAAACCGTGTTCTGTCCCTGACAATAACTAGTCGGTTGTAAATACCAGAAAACACCTTTGTGAAATTGTGGCAGTCAACACAAACACGAAGATTCTTTGCAAGCCTTATTGGCCTGTGCTGAGGTGTCACAAGCAAAGCAAAAGCAATTGCCAGCTTTTCACTGTGATAGGTGAGGGCACTTTCCTTCCCTTCAGAATCCAAATCATGCAACTCTGATGACACATTTGGAACATAACCAGCAATCCTTAACTGCTTATTTATCTCATTGAGCTTTTCATAAATCTCCACCTTCCTTGGATGTGCATCATCATCTGCAATAAACTCATGAACCTCACCATTATGCTCCACAGTCGTGCAGCCAGGAGTAGTTTGTATTCCTTTTTCCTGCATCAACTTCCTGACTTCGGATACCTTGCTCCATTCCCCAACTGCTGCATAAGTGTTCAGCAATAGAACATAGTCCCCAGCTTGCTGCGCCTTCAGTTCAATTAGATTACCGATTACACGCTCCCCAAGATCAACATGACCATGGATTCGGCAAGCACCAAGAAGAGTTCGCCAAATTGTCGCATCTGGTGCAACCTTCATCTCATTTGTCACAAGCTCATAAGCCTCATCAAGCAAGCCAGCACGGCCCATTAGGTCAACAATGCATCCATAGTGGCGAACGTTTGGCTTCAACCCGTACTCAAATCGCATCATATCAAAAAAACTAAAACCCTCGTCAACCAGCCCACTATGACTACATGCAGAAAGAACACCAGTAAAAGTCTGTTCATCAGGAGCAACATCTGATCTAATCATCTCCTCAAATGCTGAGATAGCATCATTACCAAAGCCATTTGCTGCCAACCCCGAGATCATTGCGCTCCATGTGACCACACTCTTCTGAGGAGTCCCACAGAACACCCTGTATGCCTTATCCACACACCCGCACCTCGAGTACATCGCAATCAACGAATTGCGCACCTTCAGCTCCCCCCCATAACCGTGCTCCTCCGCATACGCCCACACCTGCTCACCAAAATCAAGCGCGCCCAGCCTCGTGCATGCCTGGAGGAGCAGAATGCAGGTGATATCATCTGGCTCCGCCCCACTGCCCCGGCCTTTCATCTCCTCGAAAAGCTTCAGGGCGTCCTTTGTCTGCCGGTTCCTCGCATAACAGGTGATCAGAACGTTCCATGCGACCGCGTCCCTCACCGGCATTTCGTCAAACAGCTTGCGCGCGCCATCCCCGTCGCTGCAGTTAGAATAGCACCTCATCAGCGAGGTGGCGAGGAGAGCGTCACGGAGGTGACCGTCGGCCACGACGTTGGCGTGGAGCTGGCGCGCGTGCGCGAGCGCGCAGCGGGGCTTGAGGAGGATGGCCAGGGTGAAGGCGTTCCCGCGGCGGCCGAGCGCGCGCATGCGGCGAAGGAAGCGCAGCGCATCGGAGGGATCGGAGAGGGCGCGGAGGATGGAGTTGCACTGGAAGGTAGAGGGGAGGGAGGACGGGGCGGTGAGGTGGTGGTCGAGGACGGCGAGCGCGTGGTGGGACGGGAGGGACGCGGCCGCGAGGGAGAGGAAGGCGGCGGTGGTTGTGATGGGGGAGAGGGCTAGGAGGCCCGTGCGAAGGAGGTGCGCGTGGAGCTGGAGGAAGCGGCGCGTGTGAATGGGCGAGGCGGAGGCGAGGAGGGCGGCGGCGACGGAAGAGGTGGAGGTGGAGGGGCGGTGAGCACGGGCGAGAGATGACGATGCCATGGCCCGCGGGACTGGCGCGACGCGAGGCAGCAGGATATGGCCGTCTTCCGCTTTGAATTTCGCGTGTTAACCTTCCTCCGGAGTTCCGGTAACCTACGCCTACGCGACGCGATATGATTCACTCAGAAACTTATTTATGGAGTAGTAGTAAACTCACTCGAGAAATTTTATAATGGTTGAAAAATTCATTATATTTTTTTTGTAAAGTACAATAGTAAACTTAGACAAGTCTTATTCTTCATTTATAATATGAATGTGTTTTATCTGTATAGTACTTTAAACATTTGATTCACGGATAAATTAGACTACGTATATAGATTCACTTGCAAAAGGAATCTCTTGTTTGCTTTGCCGAAGAAATCCCTTCAAACGAAACAGAAAAGTATACGGCACAACGTTGAGCTCGCCACGGGCGCTCCAACCGGAGAAGCCGACGTCCACGACAACCTCTCCCGTGCTGCCACGTGTCCGCTGTAACCATTTCGAACGGTCAATTATATCCCTCCACTACCCACCACATCCTGCCCCCCACGCTCACCCTCCGCACCGGATCCCGTCACCATCTCTACAGCGGCGCGCCGGTCCGGCACCCATCTCGCCGCCGACGCGCCGCGCCCCAGCGCCCCAGAGCGAGCCGCCGGGGCCGATCTCCCTGCCCTCTGATGCGCCGCCCTAATGCCCGCGGCGAGCCCAAGGTACAAACCCTAGCTCTCGCGCCTCCCTCCCCAGCCGCCCGCACCAAGATGGGCGCCCATAGGCGACAGCCCAGCTCCCGCCGCCGCCTTGCCGCCCTTACGCTCCTCGCCGCGTCCGCGCTCGCCCTGCTCCTCCTAGCATCTCGCCCGGTGCCCCCGACCTACGGCGTCATCATCGACGCCGGCAGCACGGGGAGCCGCGTCCACGTCATCGCCTACCGCGCCACGGCAGGACTCCCGCAGCTGGACTGGGCACGCACGGCCTCGATGAAGGCGACCCCGGGGCTATCGTCCTTCGCGGCCGACCCACGCGGCGCGGGGCTGTCTCTGGCGCCGCTAGTGGAGTTTGCCCGGCGCCGTGTGCCGCGGGAGAGCTGGGGGCAAACCAAGGTGCGGCTCATGGCCACTGCCGGGCTCCGGCTGCTCGATTCCGCAGTGGCCGAGTCCGTCCTGCAGTCTTGCAGGGAAGTGCTTCGGGGGTCGGGCTTCCAATTTCAGGACGAATGGGCCACCGTGATCTCAGGCATGTAGTAAAACTGTGCGACTTCTTTCTCATTTTAATGACTTGCTCTGGAAATGTGTGGACCTGGAGCTCTTGCATTTGATGTGAAGCTGGAAGTACATATTTTGAAATTGGGAGCTTTACATTTCAGTACAACTGGGTGGAGTTGTAATTCAATGTCTTTGTTAAGATGATCATGCAAGTACATTTAAATACCGTGTAGGGGCTGAGGAAGGGATATACGCATGGGTTGCAGCAAATTATGCTTTGGGGACTCTTGGCGGTGATCCAAATGACACCACTGGGATTATTGAACTTGGTGGGGCTTCTGTTCAGGTTCTGTATCTTGCATCGCACTAAGGAATCAATCCTCCTCCAGCAAAATTTGTTGGGTTCTTACTGTTTTGCTATTTTTGATCAAACAGGTAACACTTGTTACCAGTGAACCTGTGCCTCTGGAGTTCTCTCACGTGCTTAAGTTTAGTGATGTCTCATATAACCTGTACAGCCACAGCTTTTTGCAGCTTGGTCTGGTGAGTTGTGTGCGTAAATATTAGTTGTACAGACAAACATTAACCATTGTCAACGTTCTCTTAAATTGCCTATCACAAGAAAAGTATGTTGCCACACCTGCACCTTAGCAATGATCCACTTTATGGCTAGTTAAGTGATCCTTGCTATTATTCTGTATGTGCTGACTGTTCTCTCTCATTTTGTGTGCAGAATGTAGCATATGAATCATTCCATGACTTGCTCAGCTCACCTGGCCTTAGCTCAAGTAAGTCAATTGGTTCATTGCATTTCTAGTTTTTAAAGTAAGATAATCAGATATCACAAGAACACGTCTATGATTTAAAATTGATTACACTTGGGGAATAATTTTAGTACAGTTGTGCCAATTCTTTTTCTTGTATTCAACCTCTGTGGATATGCTATGATTTTTTTGATAATATATATTTTAGGCCTAAAGCTAACATAACTCCAGCATGTTTCATGAGTCTTATCTGATCTGACTATGCTTATGCAGTGGCCACACATTTGATTTCTCAAGCTAAGTATAAAGATCCTTGCACTCCAAGGGGATTTACACACATAGCAGGATCAGTTAAACTTCCTGTTAGTGTTCTTGAGCCGAAGGTTGAGTACAGACCTTTTGCTCATGCTGTGGGGAACTTCTCTGAGTGTAGATCTGCAGCGCTAACACTACTGCAAAAAGGAAAGGGTAGCCAAATGCACTTATACCTCAGTGTCTTCTTATCATTATGTTTATTTTTCTTCAGAAATGCTTCCTTTTTCTTCGATAGTCATATCTGTTTGCTGAATTCTGGGGGAAGAATGGGACTTGGTCCACTAAGAGCTACTCCCTCCGTTCAAAATTGTAATTTGTCCTGGCTTTTCTAAATAGATAGCTTTTGCTGCAGCACCAAGATATATATTATGTCTAGACTAGATACATAGTAAAAGCTATGTATATCTAAAAAAGCCAGAACGACTTCAATTTGGAACGGAGGGATTTCTTTGCTTAGGCCTTTGTTATAGGAAAAAAACTACATGACTTCCAAGATATACTGCACTCAATTTAGGGTTAAAATAACTAGGCTAACTAATCTTAGCTCAAATAGGCTAATAGCTACCTTTTGTGTTTGGCAGTGAATTTGCTTAGGCTATAATGTTGTTTGGCTAGACTAGGTGTGTTAGCAGTAAGAGAACAAAATTCTGGTTCATTAGGCTATTCAACCTCCAGATCAGGTTATTTTAAAGAGGTTACAAATATTTATCCAGGTTAGCTCAACTCCCCAAACCTGCAAGCCTTTTGGTAAACTAAGCCTGAATCCCTAGTACTTCCTCATGTGTTGACCATGTGACCAAAAACACAGCCATCTAGTGTTTAAAGGAGATAAGGAGTAAGCTATACACTTCTATATTATCTGTCTAAAATAAGAGAGTTTTTTCCATGCTTTAGCTTATTGTTGTATGAAATGAAGTGAAGGTGGCTCTGATGACCTACATCTAGTAACACCTTTTTTAGGCTCGTCAATCAAAATAAAATTATTGATATCTTTGACTGAAAGATGCATTAGTGTGCATGGGGAGTTGTTATTAATTCATTTGCTAACTTTAATAAACTAATTTGAGAAATTCCCATCTTTATCTTTAATCTGTTGAATTCCTGCAGCTTTTGTTAATATATTAAACAGTTGAGTGACTACAGTTTTTGGTGCAGTTTCCCATTCTCCGTTTATTTCATGGCATAATTGAGGTGAGTGTGTTCTTTTTGCAGAGGGATGTACATATCATGAATGCCGCCTTGGAGCAGCATTTGTACCAGAGTTGGAAGGGAAATTTTTAGCAACAGAAAATTTTTACCATACTTCAAAGGTCTATTTCTTTCTGTATGGTTGGGGGCTCAAAAAGTTAAATTTGAACATAATGCATGCATAATGACAGGACTCTTCTCTTTGGGTCAAGATTGTCCATTTTCTTTTATGTTCAATACTCTGCCATCTTTAGTACAATATTCATTTTTATATTTTATCGCTTAACAGTTCTTTGGTCTGCACTCAAAGTCCTTCCTTTTTAATCTGATGGCGGCTGGGGAGAAATTTTGCCATGGGGACTGGTCAAAGATTAAGAAGAAGTACAGCTCTTTTGATGACGGACAGCTGCTTCTTTTTTGCTTTTCCTCAGCATATATTATTGCTCTACTACATGACACACTTAAAATGCCACTGGATCATAAGAGGTGAACCCTTTTCTACAGTTCTATTCTTTGTTTGAAACCTGGATATTTACATGAGTTTTGTTTCAGGATTGATGTTGTAAATCAAATCCATGGCGTGCCTGTTGACTGGGCATTGGGTGCTTTCATTGTGCAGACGACGATGAACCGAACAGAGTACTCAGATTCATCAGTTTCATATCTAAACAACCACTCTTCTGGCTTGGTTCCGCTTCTGTTCATTACTGTGGTTGTATTTACAGCATTCTCCATCCTAAGGTGGAGAAGGCCTCGGCTGAGGACGATCTACGACATGGAGAAAGGCAGGTACATCGTAACAAGTGCCAGCCGATGAGTCGCACACATTGGCGTTGGGAGTGGGTGGACTTCCTGCAGCGGAGCACTATTGACCATGTATGTAGATTTTCCTAAATTGATTTCTTACTCGGTGGCCAGCTACGCTCCAGCATGTTGCCTTGTGGAATTAGCTTGCTGAGTTTGGGCAGCAACCCCTGTATATGATAGAAGGATATGGGTTGCGGTGGCCTTTGTGCATGCTCAATGCTGTATGTAATGTTGCTAAACTGTTGATGTAATTACAATTTTGTGCATGGGTGTCCATCCGATGATGTAATCCTGAGATATCATGTGTCTAATGATGAATAGAAAGTTCTCTGCCATGGATCATGGATGGCAGGGCAGCTGTATCTTTGTTTCCTGTCAAATCCACTGATGTTATGCAATTCTAAGTCTAATGTTCGTGTATATTCTCTTGCCTTAAACACGACTGATGCTACGAGACTGCAATACTACAGTTTGCATCTCTATTGCTGTCACATAGGCACATAGCATTAGTTTAGGCTATGTGAGAGAAAAATAATGTCACATAGGCACATAGCATCAGTTTGCATCTAGTTTAGGCTATGTGATTGATTGTTTGAGACTCGTATTCCTGGCATATAAGCCAAACAAGCCCAAACGAACAAGACGGTTGTTAAGCTCGTATTCCTGGCATAAGTAAACTATGAAGCTCACCATCTATTTAGGACAACTCTAATATATGGGGTTGACTTTGGGTCTTAATAGGTAGGCTGTATGCTGAGTGGAGGGAAGGAGCGAGAAGAGAGGGAAGAAATTTTGTGAGAGAAACAAATAGGCTATATGTAAGCAGATTACTATATGAGTGGATTGATAGATAGGCTATAAAGTATACATATAACCAATTAATCTTGCTTTAAGTCCCCACTGCTCGTCCCCTCTTCCCCATGACTATTGCTCCTGATCTTGATATTGGGCACTTGATAGGAGATATATAGTTCATTGTCTTGAGTAAAACTTTGCTAATTTTGATCACATTTAAAAATACCAACTTAATTTCATTGAATTTTCCATTAAATATGTCTTAAGAATGCTTTTATTTGAACTTGTAGTAAATATTGATAATATATATATTTTTTTAAAAAACTTGATGGCAGCTGGAGAAGTTTAACATAGAACTATTCCTGACGATTTTCCACGAAATTGCAAATACGTCACCAATTTGAAAACACACATCGTTTTATCATATACTGGGCTGATGCGTCTGGTTGCACACCGAGAAATGCAGACCAGTTTATGACTACGAAAATCTACATAAACAATCTCAGTGGTGTTAGAATTTATGACTTAAATTAGTAACTAGTAATTGACACTACCTCATAGTAGAAAACACCTAGTAGACAATAAGGGATCGCATCCAGCAACTGGTAGTATTCCATTATTACAGTAATTCAGGGACGATGTGCAAGACTCATCCATCGAACAAATATGCATTGCAATTTCTAAACTCGTCAACATGATTGCACAAGAGTGTTACATCGACCTAATGGACGTAAAAAAAAACGGTATTGTGTTGTGAAAAAACTTCGCGTGACGGGAATGGTTCCGAAGTGCATGGAAAGGATCAAAGGGAGACAGGCAACGTTTCGTCGTCTGCATCGTCAGATCTTGTTGATCTTGGCGGCAACGACGAGCGGGTTGTTCTTGGCGATCCTCTCCCGGCCCGCCGCCTTGAAGTCGAAGTCGCAGGCGTGCTTCTCCGCGTACCGGTGCAGGGAACAGAACGTGCCGCCGCAGCGGCAGGGGAACCCCAGCAGCCCAACCTTCTTGTTGCACGACGCGCACCTGTTGGGCGCCGCCGCCTTCACCGCTGGTGCCTCCACCGCTGGTGCAGCACTGGAAGTTGCAGCAGAGATCTGGGCCGCCGCCGGCTGCTCGGCAGCGAGGACGACCTTGTCCTCCGCGGCAGGGGAGGCAAAAGCGTCGGCAGGGGAGGCGTGAGCGTTTTTGAGGAAGTCCTTGTAGCAGCCGGAGCACATGTTCTTAGTCGCCGCAGACCCGAAGAAACCGCACCCGTTCGTCGCGCACTTGATGGCGGCGCCACCGCCGCCGCCGGATGCTTCCTGCTTCTCCGTCTCCACGGGGCCGGCGTTCTCCTTCTCTGTTGTCGACGTCGGCGCTTGAGCAATAACCGGCGTGGCCGTGGCCACTGCAACGGCAGCGGTAGCGTCAGGATCTTGATGACCACCCAGCTGCTCGGACACATGAGCAGCAGCCTTGGAGGCCTTGATCTTCTTCTCGTCGACGGGAGCGGCGACGTCAGGATCTTGACCACCAGCCAGCTGACCGGACACGTGAGCAGCAGCAGCCTTGGCGATCTCGATCTTCTTCTCGTCGTCGACGGGAGCAGCGTCGGCGTCGGCGGTCTTGATCAGGTACTCCTTGTAGCACTTGGAGCAGAGGTTCTTGGTCGCCGTGCTCCCGAAGAACCCGCAGCCGTTGGCGCACATCGGTGCCGCCGCACCGCCGCCGGCGACCTCCTGCCCCTCCGCCGCCATCGATCTTCTTCGTCGCCGCTTCTGTGCACGTGTGTGAAACCTAGATCGCTTCGTGCGCGACTAGTTTCATGAACGAGCGGAGAGTTCGTGAGTGCGGAGCGTGGATGCCTCCTCTTATAACACGGGAACGGGATCAAGGCGAAGCGCCAACCGACTTCCGATTCGTGGTCTGGTCCGTCCGTGGCAGGGTAGGGTCCGACTTGCAGTTCCGAGTTTCGTCACGCGGGGCTTCTGGTTCGTACGCGGGTACGTCCTGATGTTCAGGACACAACTAGCACCTTCTAGTTGATCAGCTAGTGCATCCCTGCCGTGGATCTGACGCGACCCTTTTTGTTCAAACACGGCGCACCGACCGACACCGGAAGTCGGCTCGCGCTTGGCTTCCGACTTCCGCCGCTGCCCGGCGCCCTCACGATAAATAGGGGGCGCGACGCGAGGGGCCACCATCCGCATCCGGTTTCACTTCCACGAAGAAACAACTTCGTCGTCTTCACCTAGCAAGCGAACTACGGAGTAGCTAGTTTCACGCACGTCACGTACGTGCCCTGCCCGCCCTGCGATCCATCCGATCCTCTAGCAGCGGCGGACCGATCGGTAGGTCCATCGAGATCCACACATGGCGGAGAGCCAGGAGGTCGCTGGCAGCAGCAGTGCGGCCCCGATGTGCGCCAACGGCTGCGGGTTCTTCGGGAGTGCGGCGACCAAGAACCTCTGCTCCAAGTGCTACAAGGAGCACCTGATCAAGACCGCCGACGCCGCCGCTACTCCCGTCGACGAGAAGAAGATTGAGGCCGCCAAGGCTGCTGATGCTCACGTGTCCGAGCAGCTGGTTGGCCAAGATCCTGACGACGCCACCGCTGCCGTTGCAGTGGCCACGGCCACGGCCACGGCCACGCCGGTTGCTCAAGCGCCGACGTGGTCGACAGAGAAGGAGAACGGCGGCTGCCTCGTGGCGGAGACGCAGAAGCAGGAACCATCCGTCCGCGGCGGCGGCGCCATCAAGTGCGTGGCAAACGGGTGCGGTTTCTGCGGATCCGCGGCGACCAACAACATGTGCTCCGGCTGCTACAGGGACTTCCTCAAAGACGTCCACGCCGCCCCTGCTGTGGCGGACAAGGTCGTCGTCCTCGCTGACGAGCAACCGGCGGCCCAGATCTCTGCTGCTGCAACTTCCAGTGCTACGCCCGCGGTGGAGGCGGCGCCGGTGGCGAAGGCGGCGGCGCCCAACAGGTGCGCGTCGTGCCGCAAGAAGGTGGGGCTGCTGGGGTTCCCCTGCCGCTGCGGCGGCACGTTCTGCTCCCTGCACCGGTACGCGGAGAAGCACGACTGCGACTTCGACTTCAAGACGGCGGACCGGGAGAAGATCGCCAAGAACAATCCGCTCGTCGTGGCAGCCAAGATCAACAAGATCTGATCTGATGCAGGCTAGACCATAGATGAAAGCTGGATCTCGTGATCACAGTTTGTCCGCGTGCCATACACGAAGACAGAAGTGCAATTTTAAGGACTTTTCCCGAGCAACCATACACCATCCATGTATATTCGTAGAATCTTATTATAACATTATTTATTATTATTATTATATCATGTTGATGCAGTAACATTCTTTGATACTTATGGTCCGGTAAGTTTCGCTGAAATTTGACTTATACTGATGTTTATGTAGATTTATTATGAAAAAAAATATTTTTCGTTCGCTAAAAAATACTGCTAATACGCTGTCAATGTTAATGTGGCTAGAAATTGCAGTGTATGTTTGTTGCCTTGCTCGATGCGTTGGTGGAAACTCGGTGGCCAACGTATTATTCTTGAACTCACATTTTTCGATCGATAGCCCCGTGTTTTGGTTTTGTGTTTTATGTAACTCCACATTTTTTTGAAAGGCGGCAAAAGATTTTGCTGGATTTTTATTAGACTAGGATCATGCATGTGCGTTGCAACGGGAACAAAATAATATCATAGTAATTTTAAGCTTAATCATACATATTAGCTTGTGAGTGTTATTTTTTTATATGATTACAGCATTTCACCAGATTTCTCAGCTTTTCTTCAACAATCTTCATAAGGGAAATCACCTTAAGAAAACACCTTAAACTATTAAAATATATACTCATATCTTCTATACCATAACTAGTAAAAAAATCTATAAGCCAATACCCAATAAGCTGGTCTGAACTTTGGCTGAAACTAGTGGAAAAACATTATTCCGGCTGAATTGTTGTGAGAGAAAAACACTGTTCCAGCTGAAAAAATAAGTCGAACAAGTCAAATTTAAGACAAGCGAACGGGACCAAAAGGACAATACTTTCAATGTAGCTTTCCTATATTATATTCCAATAAAGTTAGAGAAGATGGTATTATAAGAAATTCATCTCATATAAAAAACAATATTGATCTATCCTTCATATTATTTTATTCATCTTCCACTTCATGTTGATACGGCGATGCCCTACCAATATGTAATGGCAAGAGTGGTAACATCTAGGGATTGTGGTGAGTGGTAACATCCTGAAAACTCTTCTTGATCCAATTGGCAAATATATTTTACTTCTATTTTATGATCTCAGCTGTAAAATTGCAGTCACAGCTGGCAAGAAAGCCACCACTGATAAGGAACATGTTGCAGAAGTGCCGTACAAAGAGCTACTCAACCCATCAAAGTAATCTATAACAGCTAACCAACAAAGTCAGGATCTCGTAGTAAAATCTCGTGAAAATGACTTGAATGCATGTTAACAAAACCACGGCAAAGAACGAAATAGTTAGGCCTTGCAACATGACAAAGTGCCAAAGAAGCCATGCAACAAAAAAATGCATAGAAATTCCCTGCATCCATAATTTTTTGTCCACCCGTGATATAGCTAAAATGATTTAGTTGCATCAAGTAGGTATTCTAGTTTCATAAACATCCTCAGAAAATTGGTGGCGTGGGGTGATTGTGGAATTGATCACGATGGTTACGGGAATTGATTTTTGTCTTATTGATTTGCCGGGAATTGATCACGATTGTTACGGGAATTGATTTTTGCCTTCCTAATTTGCTGCGGCTGTTATGGGGATTGAGCTGATCGCATGGAGTGAGTACGCGTTGCCTTCCTGATCTGATCGCATGGAGTGCCTTTAGTGTCGCATCTGTGGACGGAATAATTATGAATGTTTTAGTTGTAGAGATGAGAGAAAAAAAGAAAAATACAGAGTTACACCCAAGACTCTAAACTCTCCAACACTACTGCCCACAGGCGATACCTACCCAACTCTATACATTGCTGGTAAAACACCAGGCTGGAGAGTCCCTGGACTGAAACAACTGAAACCTGAAAGAAGCCTGAAAACTTGAAAGAAAGACTAAACACAACCAGATAAACACCGTACAGACTAAAACCTTCACCTCTTCCTTCCCTGTTATGGCGTCTCTTGTTACTCCCTTGATGGTGAAAGTGACGTAGATCTCTAGGAAGTGTTGGAGATGAGCACTCGCATCTTCATGTGCCTTTCCACAAAACTAGCTAGCTTGCATCATGTTGATGAGAGCTGACTTGAGCTTAAAAGTATTGTCTCCCACATTGACCATTGGTCCCGTACGGATGTTGGCCGTAATTGGAGCAGAGAATTCACGAAGAGTCTTGTCAGCCATGGCTTCAAAAACTAGTGTTAAGCTGCGCCTTGTCTGGTTATCTTCTAATTCTAAAGCTGAGACTTTCTTGAGTTTAGCTCTAGTTCTCCTGATTAATGCTTCTGGATCTTCAATATAGTTTGTCGAAAGGTCAAAACCAGTCATACATTACCCTGCATAAGATATAAAAGTATATAAAACAAGGGTAGGCCTGCTAGAGCAGTGGTAAATAGTTTTCTCGATCACATTAATAAGTAAAAGTTTATCAATATTTCCTTCTTGCCTAGCTACCTTCCCCGGCAACGACGCTACAAATGCTTGTTGGTATTTATTAACTTGTCACTTGTTTAAGTAGCCACCTAATGTTGTTCACATTTCTTAACACCACTTTTGCTAAGTTGTTATCCCTAGAGATGATGTTAGAAATGCTTGTTGGTACTACCTAGTGCCACTTCAAAAATGACACTACGAAGTACTTTAGTATTTTATGTGACTAGAAAGAATAATATATATATATATATATATATATATATATATATATAGTGCACAGATAATATATGAAAGGAATCTACAAGCGTACAGATAATATACCATTGTAGCATTTCACCCGAGAGTATTATAGGTATCGTTATTTATATTTTTACCACAGAGAAGGACGGACAGTCGGAATATATTGATAACTTATACGTATGATGGAGAAGTAAATCATAACCAAACTTCTACTCATAATAGTGGTATGTCAAGAGATAAATAAGTAATGATAAATGATAAATCATCACTCAGAGTACTCCTTTCTATGGCATTAGCATGACTAAGTAGAATATTAGAGGAATAATTCCTAAGTCATTCTTAATTACAAGTCAAAGTGTACGTTGATTAGTGCAATTACACTTAGTAGTCATAGCTAAGATCAACTTCATATCTACACATAAGGAATATTACTAATGAAGATTAAAAACAGAGGTTGTCTTCCTTCGTAACTAAATCCTACTTGTCCTATATTTGATGAGTGGACTACAAAGGACTCAACGGGAGTGTCACATCCGCGATCTAGCACATGGCTCGGAATATAGGGTGCATCCGCAGGTAAACAACGTATAAGCACCACGCTTACACAATATCAACCACTCACCCCTGGTACCTTGGAGCAAGCGCTATACAAACTTATGCTTGAAAATGAAGATAATCTAACTATACTAAACATATAATCAAAGTAGACGATGAACATGATAACTAGGAACATGATTCATATTAAGACCAATGTCATAACAATTGTAGCAAACATATAAAAGTAATGAGAGATATAAAAGAGAGGGGGTACAAAGGCTATACCAGGCCACGCTCTTGACACGATCAGGAATCCAAGCGAAGCTTGCCTCCCTCTAGATCTAGCCTTGCTAGCTATGCCCTAGAATATGGTGGAGCTTTGAGGATGATTAGAGTTTTTGTCTTCTCAAGTGACTTGATCAGGGTTTGATATGATAGGGAGGTGGCAGGGGCTAGTATATATAGGCCGGAACATCAATCCTGAGCTCTCGGATCAAACCGACTTGAATAGATGACATGGATGCAACCTAGGAGGTGGTGGAGAACCAACGTCCACCACAAGAAATGTTAGAGTTTATGTCATTTTATTGTTGTCAAAATATCTGCAATTTATATCATAGGTTAACATTTATGACATTTGATTGACAAAAAAGCTTGCGTAAAAAACCATGCGCCTTAAACCATGTTTTATGTCGTTTAGATGTTGGAGTCATAAATGTATGACACTGGTTTGGGTGTCACAAAATTTTATGACATTTGGTTTTAAGTCACAAAATTAAACGTGGCCTGCCTGAGCCCATGTAAGAAATAGCCTTATAGTGGGCTTGTTGTGGCTGAATTTTGGCCCAACCCATTCTATTTTGAGGCTTTTTTTGCCCATATCTGAATTTTATTGATTTTGGCCCAACCTCACTTGCTTAGGCTAAGCCCGCATAGATTTTTTTGGGCCAGCCCAATTTTTTGGCTGTTGTTTAGGGCCCATACAATTTTTTGGACTAGCCCACTTTTTTGGACCAACCTAAATAGGTTTTAATTGGGCCAACCAAACAACACAATTTGTAAACAAAAAACATATTCATACGTGCATTCCAACATCTATGACAATACGGAGATCTTGCATTTCAAATACAACCAATACACAAATCTTGCATTACAAATAAGAGCATTTTACCTATGTGCCATTAAAAAGTTTGTAATTACACATAAGCCATTAAAAAGTTGACTGTACATAGGTGCCACTGCTCTAAACTTCTTTACCTTACAAGCCATTCCGTCCTTGTTCTGTTTGTTTTTTTGCCGTTTGGTTGCCCTTACAGGTGGGATCGGCTAGTGAAATTGTTCATATTAGCCTTGGGCGGTGGAGACCGTGTTGACTACGATTGACCCCCACCTCAGTTTTCTTGATCTCCCCATGTGCCCCTCTTGGAGAAGAAGGGGAGCGTAGGGGAGAGTCGCGACTGCCACCGGGAAGGCACGTTGTTGCCGGAGCTCGTGGCCACCAAGCAAGCACGTGGCAGCTGGGCAGGCTTGCGGCCGTCGAGACGCGATGTCGGAGCTTGAGACGTGGCCACCTAAGCTCGAGACTTGGCTATCGGATCTCGAAAGGCGACCACCGGAGGTCGGGATGCGACCACCAGGTTGCCGACGCGTGGGCACGTGGCTGTTGGAGCACAGGCCGTGGCCGCCAGGGGGCGTTGGGGCTCGAGGCGAGACCGTGGGGCCACCGGGGTTCGTCGCACGACCGCTTGGGAGGT